AGTGATGCTTTGGATAAGCTGAGGTTCTTGAGTGTAACAGAGCCGTCTTTGCTTGGAGATGGTGGAGATCTTGAGATTAGGATTAAGCCTGATCCTGATAACGGCACTATTACCATAACGTATGAGTGAATTCTCATCTTTCTTTTGTTACTTGATTCAGAATTATATAGAACTGTTTACTTAAATTGGTTGGATGTGAATATGCAGCGATACTGGTATTGGAATGACAAAGGAAGAACTTATAGACTGTCTTGGAACTATTGCTCAAAGTGGTACTTCGAAATTCTTGAAGGCTTTAAAGGTTTTTTTCCCCATCTCTTTGAATATTGGTTGCAGGCAAACCTTTGATGTCATGTTTTCGGACTCATTGTTTTATTGCTCTCTGTATTCAGGAAAACAAAGACCTTGGTGCTGACAACGGTTTGATCGGACAATTTGGTGTTGGGTTTTACTCTGCTTTCTTAGTTGCTGAAAAGGTGAAGACTTTCAACTTTTGTTTCTTAGTGTCTTCTGGTTTATGTATTTCTTATGAGGAGTGGACTTACTGGTATCTCTACTTTCAGGTTGTTGTGTCCACCAAAAGCCCCAAATCTGACAAGCAATATGTTTGGGAATCGGTTGCTGATAGTAGCTCGTACGTGATCAGAGAAGAAACAGACCCTGATAACATTCTACGTCGTGGAACACAAATCACCTTGTATCTGAGGGTACTTTTCTCTATTCAATCATTCTTTCATTTGATGCGTTAAATATTGATATCTCTTATAGTTTGTTTGACTGCTTATTACTGGCTGCAGGAGGATGATAAATACGAATTTGCGGAGTCTACGAGGATCAAGAACCTTGTGAAGAACTACTCTCAGTTCGTTGGGTTTCCTATCTATACATGGCAGGAGAAATCAAGGACTATAGAGGTGAGGATGACAGTTTTGTTTCTGTAATCATATTAGTGTATTCACATTGCTAATATGGTTGGAAAATTTGTAACTTGTGGTAGGTTGAAGAGGAAGAACCAGCTAAGGAAGGAGAAGAGGTAAAAAATTTATGGAGTTTTAATTGTGTGTAACAAACAGTCACAACCAAATACTGTCCTAGAGTTTTGTTTACTGATTTGATTTTGTTACTTGTTTCCAGGGTGAGCCAAAGAAAAAGAAGACCACTAAAACTGAGAAGTATTGGGATTGGGAACTAGCCAACGAGACAAAACCGCTATGGGTAATGCCTTGGAGCTGTAACCTGTGTTTTGTACTCTTCGTTCAACATGTTTACTGATTATTTTGTGTGTTTTGAATAGATGCGCAATTCGAAGGAAGTGGAAAAAGGAGAATACAATGAGTTCTACAAAAAGGCTTTCAATGAGTTCTTGGATCCACTTGCTCACACACACTTCACAACTGAGGTCCTTATACTTATACATTATACGCTATATATTTATGTCAATTTATGAATTCTTCAACTGGCGCTTACTAGTCGCTGTATTGTCTTGATTCTCAAAGGGTGAGGTTGAGTTCAGGAGTATTTTGTACATCCCTGGCATGGGTCCTCTTAACAATGAGGATGTTACAAACCCGAAAACAAAGAACATTCGGCTCTACGTGAAGCGTGTGTTTATCTCTGACGATTTTGATGGAGAGCTTGTGAGTCCTATTTGGTTCTTTCTGTTGTAGAAATCTCTTTAAATTTGTGGTTCGATTTATTATCTGATTATGTTTTGTAATCTGTTTGCAGTTCCCGAGATATTTGAGCTTTGTGAAGGGAGTGGTGGACTCTGATGATCTTCCTCTTAATGTTTCCCGTGAAATTCTCCAAGAAAGCAGAATTGTAAGTGGTGCAACAGTTAGTGATACAAATGTTTATCATATATGAATTTCAACTCCTAACTATACTATCTTTCTTATAATGTTCAGGTAAGAATCATGAGAAAGAGGCTCATAAGGAAAACCTTTGACATGATACAAGAAATCTCGGAAAGTGAAAACAAAGAGGTATGCATCTCATTATCCTAATCTTGTTCTCTTGTTCATTTGAAGGCCTGGGATATTCACCTGGTACAAACAATTTCCAGGATTACAAGAAATTCTGGGAGAACTTTGGTAGGTTCCTTAAATTGGGTTGTATTGAAGACACCGGTAACCACAAGCGTATTACACCGCTACTCAGATTCTACAGTTCCAAGAATGAAGAAGAATTGACAAGCTTGGATGATTATATCGAGAACATGGGAGAGAACCAAAAGGCGATCTACTACCTCGCCACTGATAGTCTTAAAAGTGCCAAGTCTGCCCCTTTCTTGGAGAAATTAATCCAAAAAGATATCGAGGTATATGCTTCAAGATTAGTTTTTCAACTTCGAGATTCTGTTTTGATTTGACTTTCTCACCACTTGTTTTTGTTAATTATAGGTTCTATACTTGGTTGAACCAATCGATGAAGTTGCGATTCAGAATTTGCAAACCTACAAAGAAAAGAAATTCGTTGATATCAGCAAAGAAGATTTGGAACTCGGTAAGTATTGATTAGCACTGCTGACTGCCCGCACATTTCTCTCAACCATTTGTTTGTAACAAAACGTGTCCATTCTCGCAGGAGATGAAGATGAAGTAAAGGACAGGGAAGCTAAACAAGAGTTTAACCTTCTCTGTGACTGGATAAAACAGCAGCTCGGTGACAAAGTTGCAAAAGTCCAAGTCTCAAATCGTTTGAGCTCTTCTCCTTGTGTGCTTGTTTCAGGCAAATTTGGGTGGTCAGCTAATATGGAAAGGTTAGTATTTCAGCAAAAGCTTTATAAAACAAAATCGACATATCATGAAACTTATGTGCTTATTCATTGACTTATGTGCTTGTTCATTGTGAAAGGCTAATGAAGGCACAGGCTCTTGGAGACACTTCAAGCCTGGAGTTCATGAGAGGTAGGAGAATACTAGAGATCAATCCAGATCATCCCATCATCAAAGACTTGAACGTAAGTGTGTGCTACAATATTCTCTCCGGAAATCTATCGGCTCAGAGATCTTGAAAAAAGCCTTTTAATTTTTGTAATTCTTTTGGTGCAGGCTGCTTGTAAGAATGCACCAGAGAGCACTGAAGCAACAAGAGTGGTCGATCTCTTGTATGACACTGCTATAATCTCAAGTGGATTCACTGTAAGAAATCTAAAACCTTTCTTGTTCCTCAGTAAAAGTCTTGGACCTTTGTACTCACTTTTGATTTGTTTGTTGAACAGCCTGATAGCCCGGCCGAGCTCGGGAACAAGATTTATGAGATGATGGCAATGGCGGTTGGAGGAAGATGGGGCAGAGTTGAAGAAGAAGAAGAAAGCTCGACTGTGAATGAAGGAGATGACAAAAGTGGAGAAACAGAAGTAGTTGAACCATCTGAAGTTAGGGCAGAGAGTGATCCGTGGCAAGATTGATCCTTTTTTACCTTCTTTTGTTTCCAGTGAATTTTTTTTGACACAAAACGCTTTATCTTCTTCATTAGCAGTATCATGGGCCTAAGGAAAGCCCATAATTAAATCATGAACGAGATTTATCCAATATTTGTAGTTTGTTTTTGGATAATTAAAATAATTTTAGAGAAATTACACAAAAAAGGCTTGTAACAAAAGTATTTACGAATATTTGAAAGAAAATCAAGAGGCTGAATTTTTCTCTTTCAAATTTCCTACTTGCATTCTTTTTCTCCATAAAGTACTTGCATTTTGAGTTGTTTTACATTTTAAATTTATATATTATTTATTTGGTAATATTTTTGTAGAGAAATTCTGATTTTTACTTCACATCTATATATTCAACAAGTGTTTTTTTTAGTAACATCTTATATATTAAATCTATACATTCAACAATTGGTTTATTAACTAACAAATGTACCTTAGTTTTATGTAAGAAACCTCATTTGATTGAAATTGAACCCACAAGCCTTTAATTTTTAATTTATAGTTCATTTTTGTGGAAATTTATAAAGAGTTTTACATATCTAATGGAGAGAAAAAAATATATTCTGAAATAGATATTTTGTATCAAAGATTTCACCAAATTAAATTTTCCACGGGTCAAATCATGTCTACGTCATCAAAAGTGGCTTTAATCCAAAATCATTAGTTACAAATTACAATCTTATAAATTGAAAATGAAAACATTTTCCCTAAAGCCTTCATAAGAAAGGGTCTTGTCAGTTTTCACTTTCCTCAATGGCTTCTAAAGCTTATTACAAAACCTTCACCATTACCGTTCTCCTTCTCTCCTTGACATTAATCTCTCTTGCCGGTAACGCTGAAGACACAGACGTAAGGGAATGCAAAACTTAATCCAGAGATTCATCATGCCGCAACAACAAAGAAGCACAAAAGCTTAAACTCAAAGCAATCATATCGATCTTTGCCGTGAGCATTAGCGTTGTTTGCTTACCGTTGTTAATTTGTTCCGATCTTTCTTTAGGACCTAACCGACATATGTTTGTGATCGCTAATTAATTAAATTAGTGTAGACTTTGGCTTAGAATTCCAGCTATTAATTAAAAAAATGATTTAATGTAGTCATTTTGGTGCAGATGTTTGGACTAAGTATCGGACTAGGTATGGGAGTCTACCCGATCGTTATCGGTATCACTTATTGTATCGCTTTCTTTCTACCAACTCCTTAAAGGAATGAGACTCGGTGGTTTCATTTTACAAGGAAATTCGTCTCTAAATCCATTGCTATATATATACGTGTTGATTTGATAGTAATCAAACAATCGATCTTACATATTTTTCTTTATTTTTTTGTTTATTATATAGGCGCAACAGAAAACGAACTTGATAATGGTAGTATTTCCCTTCTCGATCGCATCAGCGTGTGGGACTGTATTAGGGATGGAAATACAAAAAATATTAGATGAGGCAAGCCCGACCGCGATGATGGTGGCTGGGGTCGCGAATGCATGTTCCACGGGACTATTAATCTATATTGCCTTTGTTAATATCTGGCCTCTAAGAGGAGACATGAAACTTCGGTCATGTGCCTATAGTGCTGTCTTTATAGGTGCTGGAGGAATGTCTTTGAAAAATCAATACTATACTCATACACTGCTTAACCAAGCAAGTGGTTAAATCTAAATATGTATTTATTCTTGGTAAAAAAGCATTAGGTGGAAAGGAATAAAAACTGCAAATTATGAAACATGAATGTTTTCATACACTAACCACATCTATAACAGTAGGAAGGATAGGCTTTGCTTGCGTGTATAGGCTTTCCTCCACCAAAAACTTTGGTACAATCAACAACTGAGTCTACACAAGGAAATAGAATATCTTGTTGTGCGGTGTCACCAGGCGGCTCTAACAAGAGAACATTTTGATTCCTCGATTTCAAACAATGAAGAACCCTGTACAACTCAGAGTGTTGTTTTGCGATAACCATATAATTCATGGGAAAGCTCACTGCTAAGAAAGAAACAATCTCTCCAGTCATCCTCCAAACACACGAATCGTCACCCGGTGAAACTATAGATAAACAAGAGACCTAGATTACTACAGAGATATATAATAAGTAGAAGAAACAGAGAAGAGTGTAAGTTAATAAGTAAAGGAATATTCATTCACCTTCAGGATCGTATGCGATATTGGCCATGGACAAGGCATCTATGTCGTGGTACAATTTGTCACCAAAGGCCATGATTGTCAGATGACCATGAAAACCCATTTTATGGAGAGCTGATTCGATATTAGGATAAATCAAATCAAGATTGGCACTACTAGGGATTGGATAATCCTCCAAGTTCCAGAAGACAACTGTCTCATCCTCTTGACAAAACAGAAAACGTATAAACGAGTTAATTACGAAATAAAAGATACAAGATAGGTTAGATCTATACATTGACCATTGTTATACTATAACAGATCGACTAGGTCAGGGCTAGTTTAACTATGACAGATGGATCATATAAAATCTAAACAAATAGTTTCGGGTTAGAGATCTTACCGGAGAAATCTTCGATCTTGGAGAGGTCTTCGTCCATGGTTCGACGGAGAGAATTGGAGACTTTCGATTTCAATAAAACCCTAATTTAGGGATTGATTATTATTCAAGAAACATCCATCTAGATCGTTATTTGATTTCAGGTTTACTTCGGTTCAATTTAATTTATTTGTTTTGGGATGTGGTTTAGTTGGGTTGGTTATTTTCTATTTATTTATTTGGGTGTGATTTTAATTGATTTTTATTTAACTCTAATCAACTGGTTATGTCGCCATTAGGTAGAAAATGTGAGGGAATTAACCAAAACAAATATATAGACAAATACACACATATATATATATATATATATATATATATATTGAAGCATGTCATACATTAGTTTATCCTATTTTCTATATACATTGTTTTAATTTATCATCCATTTAAAAAGAAATAATAAATGAATTAGAGTAATGTATCCAGTAGTTAAAATCTTTTATTAATATATATGTGAGAAAATCTAAATCAGTTTTATTTTTTTTTGAGAAAATTCTAAAAAGTTTGAAAGGTATATCAATTATGGAGGAAACAAATTCTGAGTCACATCTTGAATCAAAGTTTTCACCAAATTAAAATCTCACACTTTTTAATATTTCCACGTGGCGCTTCACTGAGTACACATCACCAAAAAGTCACTTTGATCTAAGCATCGTATTAACAAAAAGTATGTACGGATGGAGACAGTATAAGACAACACATGTTGTCCACAATCTTAAATTTTCTTTTTTGTGTTACAATCTTTATAAATTTGAGACGAAATTATTTTCTCCTATAGTCTTCATCGCAAAAGATATAAAAAAAAACCTTAAGAAAGCTTCTTTTCACTTTCTGCAATGGCTTCCTCTAAAGCTTGTTATAAACTCATAACCATTACAGTTCTCCTTCTATCCTTCACATTTACCTCTCTTGCCGGTAACGCTGAAAACGCAGATGTTAGTGAATGCAAAGCTGAATCTGGAGATCCATTATGTCACAACAACAAAGAAGCGAAAAAGCTTAAAATCATAGCAATCCCATCTATCTTAGTGGCGAGCATGATCGGCGTTAGCTTACCGTTGTTAACTCGTTCCATTCCTGCTTTAGGACCCGACCGAGATATGTTTGTGCTCGTTAAGTGTTTAGCTTCGGGTGTAATTTTGGCAACCGGTTTCATGCATGTGTTACCGGACTCTTACGATGATCTCACGTCCAAATGTTTGCCTGAAGAGCCCTGGAGGAAGTTTCCTTTCACCACTTTTATCGCGATGGTCTCGGCTTTGCTCGTTTTAATGATTGATTCGTTTGCGATGAGTGCGTATGCGAGGAGAGATAGTAAGCGTGAAGGAGAAGTCGTACCGTTAGAAAATGGATCTAATTCTGTGGATACACAAGATGAGATCCAAACCCTAGAAAATGGATCTAATTATGTGGAGAAACAAGAAAAGGTCAACGATAATAAGACAAGTCAACTTCTTAGGAATAAAGTCATTGCTCAGGTGCATATATAACTTGCATATATATTTTTATATCATTTCTCAATTCTTATTTTGGAGTTGAAGCTATAGATCTATTTTTACTAAACACGTTTTTTCTTACTTGTTAAAAATTAGTTTGGATTTTGATTTGGAATTCGAATAATCAAATACAAATCTCACGAATATTTTAAAATGATATTATTTTGGTGTAGATATTGGAACTAGGTATCGTAGTTCACTCGGTTGTTATCGGACTTGCTATGGGGGCTTCAGATAACAAATGTACCATACAATCACTTATCGCAGCGCTTTGTTTCCATCAACTCTTTGAAGGAATGGGACTCGGTGGTTCCATTTTACAAGTAAATCCATGCTATATACGTATTAATTTGATAGTCATATTAACAACCGTTTTAACATATTTTAATGTTTTGTTTTGTTTATTATAGGCGCAATTTAAAAGCAAAACGAATTGGATAATGGTGTTTTTCTTTTCGGTCACAACACCATTTGGGATTGTTTTAGGGATGGCCATACAAAAGATATATGATGAGACAAGTCCGACCGCGTTGATAGTGGTGGGGGTCTTGAATGCGTGCTCTGCAGGATTATTGATTTATATGGCAGTTGTTAATCTCTTGGCTCATGAATTCTTCGGACCAAAGATACAAGGGAACATGAAGCTTCATATCCTCGGTTATGTTGCTGTCTTTATAGGTGCTGGAGCAATGACTTTGATGGCCAAGTGGGCATAGAAGTCTTGAGTTAGACTCATCTTTTACTTCTATCATTCACTTTGATTTTCGATCATTGGTAGAATAAAATCTTGTATTGTTTAGTTTTGCACAATTGCTTTTATTTGTGGAATGAAGTTTGAATTTTGCATAAACTATAGTATTTTTTAGCTAAAACGAATTGGCTTATTTCATTCTTGTAATTGGAAAGATTTTTTCCCATGAGTTTTTATTTTCTTAATAGTTGGTGGGTTTGTAGAATTTATTTTCACCTCTGGCGTTACGAAGATTGAGTTGCAATGAAATTTAAAAATTATGTTTTACTTGAATGGTGTTAAATTATTTACATATGAAATGGAAGAATAAACCATAATTTTACAAGGATAAATGAATTAAATTAGGTTTCCAAAGTTTTGCTTTTCTGAAATGATTTTATTCTCCAAAATATTTTACAACCTTAATATAAAAGAGATTATCATATTTTGAAAAGTCTTTATTTTATGCTTCTGACGTTGTTAATTGTTACCATCAAGTTGTCGAAACAACGGTTTAACTCTGTTGTCGAGTTTCGTTGAAAGTCTTAGTCGAATCACACAATGAAGTCGATATCTTTTTAAGATATGAAATCAAAATTGTTCTTGATTATAGAGAAGAAGTTCGATGATTTGATCAACCATTGATTACAATTCATTACCAAAAAAAACCATTGATTACAATTCATTACCAAAAAAAACCATTGATTACTATAGAAGAAGACAACTTCGGCATTACAGCTTTGAACACATGGTCACCTAACCGGAACTAATATTCAACGATTTTTTATAATAAATAGTGTAATTTTCAGTTTCAACAAACCATATATAATGTTTCAAGGTACTTTAAAAGTCTCGAGATATAGACAAGCGCCCGTTTAGATACAAATTAAAATTTGAATATAACGCAAACTAGCCATTTAATTTCCTTTTAACGTTGGTCAACAATATAATAAATATGACATGCCTTCGTTACCAAAAAATCATATTGGCTTATAAATTATAATGGTAACCATCAAAAAGAAAAAGAAGATGAACATTGAATATTTCTTTATTTTTAAAGAAGTACGTAATATTTAATACATATGGTCTTCGCATAATTTCCCATCATTCCTTTTTATACGGAGGATTATATATAGAACAAAAGTATTGCTCACCAAATTTGGTGAGGAACAAGAACAAGAAGACCAAATCTATTTACAAATATGAAAATAAAAAACTTTATGTTAAAATATAAAATACTGTCACAATAATAAATTTACATAAAAGAGCTAGTTAATGAAAATTACACTATATATTAAATAAATTCGAAATAACTTTTTAAAAGGTATAGAATTATGCTTAACACAAAATTTTAAATTCAAATAATTATTGTGATTTTATTTCAAATAAAATTGACAAGTAATTAATTTTTGAAGATATATTTCTAAATGAAATTAAAATTTTAAATTTCAAATGTTACCAATATTATATATTAATTTTTATAGAAATAAATCCAAAAACTAAATCCATTGTTTGTTACAATTCATTCCCAACATTTCTCTTATTATTCCTTTCCAGACTTCAATCCGTAATTTATTTCATTAGATTTTCTTCATTTTTATTTTTGCACTCCTAGTGTTTTTTAGTTGTCACCTGTGTGAGCCAATATTGTGTATCTTCTTGAACTATCAACTTACCCGGCCCGCACCAAAACAAATGGCATCAAAAGCGATTTCTCTTTTGTTCATCTCACTAATTCTTACATGTAAGTCTATCTCATGTCTCGAATAAACATTCACATATTAAATCTAATGAATCAATTTGGTTTCGAATCACTAATGACATCAATGTTCGATATTAGGCATGAGATCAGTGAGCATACCTAAAGCTAAAGCCCAAGTACAATATCATAGCTGCTCGACGGTAGATAATTGCCAAGATGTACATTGTCTGGGGCATCAGTAAAATGTATTGACTCACAATGTCAGTGTCCACCGATTTCACCACATTCAAGTAGAAAAAGCCTTAATCTAAAACCATCTGAAACTCCATTACCGTGCAAGACAGCAAGTGATTGTGAGGATAAGCTCACTTGCATTTTTGGAAAATTTGTTTGTAAAAATTCACAATGTCAATGCTTAGATGGTTAGAGAACTTAGACAATTGAAAATTTTATGTTGTTTTAATAAACAAAACGAATTTTAGACAATTGAAAATGTTATGTTGTTTTTTTTCTGTTTTGGATTTATGTATACATGAAACTTTCAATTTGATTTCTCGTAGTGTGAATGTTCAAGCGGATTCTTTGGCACGAAATAACCGCATCTTATCACATGTGTAAACAATACTCTTCGACATTGACTCATTTGAGTTAATCTAATAAAGTTGTTGAAAAAAAAAAATTCAATTTGTTATTTTTGGTCTACACAAAAACATTAACTTAAGAGAGATTGAAGAGCATCTCTCTCTTCTCTGCATCAAGTAAGACGTAATAGTCTGATTTAAAAAAAAATATAGAAATAATTATCTACCATAAAATGTAACATATCCTTCCAATATCTATGTATATCTATATGCTTGGTAAATTTTCAATTTAGATTTGAAATAAAAACAAAAAGAAAAAAAATCTTAGATAAATGGTTCAGATTCGCTAGAGGAAGAAGTGTTGCTGACTTTGCATGATTATTTCCATTTTTCTGCAAAGTTTTAGAAGGTAGTGTTGACCAAAAAAATCTTATATTAATTGGTAACCACAATTACTATTTGAACAATCAAACAACCGAACTATTTCAAAGACCAGTATAAATATTTGGACAATCAAACAGTTATATAGTAACAGACATCATTCCTCAAAAACACAAAATTTGAAAATACATATTCATCTTTCCATCTTCTATTCTATCAATGGCGTCTAGAGCAACATCACTTTTCATCTTCTTCTTTCTCATCTCTTGTAAGTTTTTTTCTTTATATCTCTATATTACGCATCTAAAACAATACTAATTCTAAAACATGTTTAAATGTGCGTGTTAAATAATTCATTTGTATATCATGTAGGCACTTTCATGTTGCTTGAAACCAATGCATCAAGAAATGAGCCTAGTAGCAATCTTCCATTGTGCACATTCAAACTTAATTGTAGTGGCATATGGTGTCCTGAAAAAATAGAAAAGCATAACTGTATCAGGTGGGCTTGTGGCTTTAGTGAAGATTGTGACAAGTTTGTTCGTTGCGAAAAAAATGCAGGACCTGTTTGTTTTGAGGGAATATGCAGTTGTACCCAATAAGATAGTTTATTGGGTAATCTGCTTTTCTAGCTTTGTAATCGATATATGAATACAATCGCAACAATTTTATTTTATCCTTCCGACGTTGTTAGTTGTTACCATCAAGTTGTCGAAACACACAATGCAGTCGATATCTTTTAAGGATATGAAATCAAAATTGCTCTTGATTATAGAGAAGAAGTTAGATGATTATTTCTCTTGATTACAATAGAAGAAGACAACTTCGGCATTACAGCTTTGAACACATGGTCACCTAACCGGAACTAATATTCAAATCTTCAACGATCTTTTTTTAATAAATAGTGTAATTTTCAGTTTCAACAAACCATATATAATGTTTCAAGGTAATTTGCAAGTCTCGAGATATGGACAAGCGCCCGTTTAGAAACAAATTAAAATTTGAAGATAACGCATACTAGCCATTTAATTTTCTTTTAATGTTGGTCAACAATATAATAAATATGACATGCCTTCGTTACCAAAAAATCATATTGGCTTATAATGGTAACCATCAAAAAGAAAAGAAGATGAACATTGAATTTTTCTTTATTTTTGAAAGAAGTACGTAATATTTTATATGAAGGATTATAGAACAAAAGTATTGGTCACCAAAACAAGAAGACCAAATATATTTACAAATATGAAAATAAAAAAATTAGGTTAAAATAAAAAATACTGTCACAATAAGAAATTTACATAAAAGAGTTAGTTAATGAATATTACACTGTATATTAAATATTTTCGAAATAAATTTTTTAAAAGTATAGAATTATGCTTAAAACAAAATTTCAAATTCAAATAATTATTTTGATTTTATTTCAAATTAAAATTGACTAGTAATTAATTTTTGAAGATATATTTCTGAATGAAATGAAAATTATAAATTTCAAATGTTATCACTATTATCATATTATATATTAATTTTTATAGACATAAATCCAAAAATTAAATCCATTGTTTGTTACCATATATCCATTCCCAACATTTATCTTATTCTTCTTCTCCAGATTTCATTCCTTAATTTATTTAAATATATTCCCTTCATTTTTATTATTGCACTCCTATTGTTTTTAGTCGTCTCCCTGTGTGAGCCAATATTGTGTATCTTCTTGAAAAAATCAACTTACCCGCACCAAAACAAATGACATCGAAAGCGATTTCTCTTTTGTTCATTTCACTAATTCTTACATGTAAGTCTGTCTCATCTCTCGAATAAACATTCACATATTAAATCTAATGGATCAATTTGGTTTCGAATCACTATTGAAATCAATGCTCGATATTAGGCATGAGATCAATGAGCATACCTAAAGCTAAAGCCCAAGTACATTATCATAGCTGCTCGACGGTAGATGATTGCCAAAATGTTCATTGTCTGGGGGCAACAGTAAAATGTATTGTCTCACAATGTCAGTGTCCACCGATTTCACCACATTCAAGCAGAAAAAGACTTCATCTAAAACCATCTGAAACCCCATTACCGTGCAAGACAGCAAGTGATTGTGAGGATAAGCTCACTTGCATTTTTGGAAAATTTGTTTGTAAAAATTCACAATGTCAATGCTTAGATGGTTAGAGAACTTAGACAATTAATTTTTTATGTTGTTTTAATAAACAAAACGAATTTTAGACAACTGAAAATGTTATGTTGTTTTTTTTTTTGTTTTGGATTTATGTATACATGAAACTTTCAATTTGATTTCTCGTAGTGTGAATGTTAAAGCGGATTCTTTGGCACGAAATAACCGCATCTTATCACATGTGTAAACAATACTCTTCGACATTGACTCATTTGAGTTAATCTAATAAAGTTGTTGAAAAAAAAAATTCAATTTGTTATTTTTGGTCTA